GGGGGGGGAGCGAATTGGCCAGCAGGGAGCGGGATTGACCTGGGCACATGCAGACCCAGGCACATGAGTGAGTCTGGCCCCAGGGATTCCATTTTGCCGCCTCCCCAAACCCTCCCTCAAGTAGTTGAGAACTGCCTGGCTGGTAGACACATTCACGCAGCATAAGCACATCTACTAGCCAGGCAGTTTGCAGCTACAGACTGATATAATAATAAAACTTGCCTAATTAGAAAATACCAGACATTTTATACGTCTGGTATTTTTTCAATATGTTTCCTCGACAGAACCCTCAAATACCGGACTGTCCGATACAAAACCAGACACCTGGCAACCCTACCCCTCCTTGCACCCTTCCTCCTAGCCAGATATCCTGCCCCTAATCTGTTCCTGCTCCCACCTCCGGGAGTGCCTACGTGGCACTGGATTCCCCAAGCCGGGCAGAGTATGCAGCCGGGTGAAACACTGAACATTTATTAATTTCTAATTCTTTTTTTTAATATGCGTTTATATTTTTGGGCTGCAAAAAACAGTACTAAAAAAAACAGGTTCCAACTAAAGTAAAAAGTTTGGGAAACCCTGGTCTAGCCAGCTTTCTATCCATCTTACTGTCCATTTATCCCATCCATATTCCCTTAACTTGCTGGCAAGAATACTGTGGGTGACCGTATAAAAAATGTTAAAGGTGGCACTGGGGGCTTTGGGAAAACCAGAAACAACTTATTTGAATGTTCATCATTTACTTAATAAATATGTAAATATGCAAATGCATGTTACCAATCCTCCAAAAGCTCATGAATGGATTTACTCGTCCCCGAATCAAAAAGCTTGGGAACCCCTGCCTTAGACCATTTCTCTAGTTTGTCCAGATCACATTGAATTATGACCCTATCCTTCCAAAGCACTTGCAATCCCTCCCAGCTTCGTATCATCTGCAAACTTAATAAGCGTACTCTCTATGACATCATCTAAATAATTGATGAAGATCTCGAACAGACCCCTGCAGAACCCCACTTGTTATGCCCTTCCACTATGACTGTGAACCATTAATAACTGCTCTCTGAGAACAGTTATCCAACCAGTTATGAGCCCACTTTATAGTAGCCCCATCCAGGTAGTATTTCCCTAGTTTAGTGACAAGAAGTTCATGTGAGACAATATAAAATGCTTTACTAAAGACTAAGTATACCACATCCACTGCTTCTCCCTTTTCCACAAGGCTTGTTATCCTATCAAAGAAAGCTGTCAGATTGGTTTGACATGATTTGTTCTTTACAAATCCATGTTGGCTGTTACCGGTCACCTTATTACAGGGGGTCGGCAACCTTTCAGAGATGGAGTGCTGAGATTTGACTTATTCGCCTCTATGTACAGGTCCAAGTACCGGTGATACTTTTTGAAGTCAATAATAGTCCTACTTGCAGCAACTTCATTAATAAATAAAATAAGATGTAGATCTTACCTTTTAGTGCAGGGGTCGGCAATCTTTCTGAATTAGATTTAATTTACAGAGATATAACTTATTCACAGATCTGTGTGCCGGGGGAAGGAATGGGGAGGGGAGGCAAGGGCAAGCTGAGTACAGTGACCTTATTTTCTGAACCAGCTGCAGCTAGGGAGAATGGTTTAATTTAAATTATGAAAGAGATTAAGCATTTTAAATTTCTCATGTTTATTTAAAATGAAGTTTGATAAACTAAGTAAAATATTATGTCCAACACAAAAGGATTCAATGTTTTATTTATTTACTGCAGGGGCGGGGAACCTTTTTTTGGGTCGGGGGTCACTGACCCACAAAAAAATCAGTTGGAGACCACACAAGTGAGAAGCAAAAAAACTCCTCCAAGCCCCCCAAATGCTCACTGATGTGGCCCCAACTGAGACACCTCAGTCCTCTGGTGCCCCAGCCTCCCAGGGTGAGGGGAAGGGAAGGGGGGGACTGAGATTCAGGGCTTCCCATAGGCCAGATTTACTTTTCTGGGGTTCCAGAGTTAGTGGATTTTACAGATCTCCTTAGGCTCTGGGACAGGGACAAAAACAAGGGGTACAGTGTGCGAGACAGCGCTGCCAGCAAGTAGGATAGGGATGGGTGCAGGATCTGGGAGGGAGGGAGGTGCAGAAGGGGGAGAAGTTGCAAGGTCTGTGTGGGGGTAGGGTGCAGAAGCAGGCAGGGAATAGGGTGTCTTGGCTAGGTGGAGGGAGCAGGAGCAAGAGGGTGGGGGTGCCTGGCCAGGAGAGAGGTTGCAGGAACAAGGGATGGTGTCAGAGCAAGCTGGGGGTGCCGGGTCTTGGGAGGGAGGGAAGTGAAGGGACTGGGGTGGAGGGGGAGGGCGGTCTGGGCATGAGGTGGGACCTTACCTGGCTTTGTGCCCCCTCACAGCAATGGCCACAGACACAATGTTCTGGCCGCCCCAGAGGGAGGCCCCACTGCTGGGGACCACGTGGTCTGGTCCCAGCTCTGGAAGCCCCGCTACCACTATTGACACAGTCCGGGGCCACCCCAGAGACCCCGCTGCTACTGTGGTCTGGGGCCAGCCCCGGAGGCCACACTGCTGTGGACCACGTGGTCTGGGCCCAGCCACAGAAGCCAGAGGGGATGCTGCCACCTGATTGGCTGTGGCAATGGCACCTCCAGCGTCCGAGGCCAGCTCCGGACCACGTGACCACAGCAGAGAAGCCTCCAACCTCCAAGGTCGAGCTCGGACCACATGACTGCAGCACCTCCGGACGTGGCCAAGGAGCTGCTGAGGAGCCTCAGACCCAGCACTGCCTCCTCCCACCACAACCTAACCTGCTGCAGGGAGAGGAAGTGCTCTCCAGCAGCTTTGTGGGGAAGGAGAGGCAAGGCTGAGCTCCCTTCTGCGTACTGCTGAAAATTGTCTTGAATGCCATAAGTGGCACACATGCTGTAGGTTGCCGACCTCTGCCTTATTATCTTGCAGTTGTTTGCAGGTGAATTCCTTAATTACTTGTTCCGTTATCTTTCCTGGCACAGAAGTTAAACTGACTGATCTGTAGTTTCCTGGGTTGTTCTTATTTCCCTTTTTATAGATGGGCACTATATTTGCCCTCCTCCACTCTTCTGGAATCTCTCCCAACTTCCATGCCTTTTCAAAGATGACAGCTAAAGGCTCAGATACCTCCTCTATCAGCTCCTTGAGCATTCTAGGATGCATTTCATCAGACCCTGGTGGCTTGAAGACATCTAACTTTTCTAAGTAATTTATTCGTACGTAATCACACAAAACTTGCAATTAGTATAAAGATGTCCCTGATTAAATGAAAACTTGAAAAATCAGTATGAATTCTGACATCTAAAATAAGTGAAAGTTTGCTTTGGAGAATGAATATTTTAAATTCACAATTCAGAGTCTCTCAAATTCAGAATGCATATTAAAGCAGTTAAAAATACTGCACTCTCAATTTCAATGTTGACTTCCTCAGAGGGGAACAGTTTCTATAGTTTAGGGGAGGAAAAGAAATATACTCAAGAAATGCCCTGTGAACTTGCACATCCTTGGTTTCTTATACATATCATAGCTACAGAAGAATGCATAGCATAGGCAAGACTATTAGCACAGAAACAATAAGGTGTTCTATGTCAATGAATAGTTATTCAAATAAAATCCTTTCTTTATAAAAAAGACATTTGCACACATTTTTTTACCTTTGAAAATGGTAAACAGTCTTTGTCTGCTTCTCTGTCTTTCACTTCAAAGTCATAAAGTGCTTTGCATTGAGGTGGAGGTTGAGGTAAAGGTTTAATAATCTGAACAAAGTTGGTAGGAAAAAAGCCATGGACACCATTGACTTCTCCATGGTACCAATTTTCATCCACTTGCCGACGTAAAATGATGATATCACCCTTATTGAATTTAAGATCTCCAGGTTCTTTTCCCTCGTAAGTATACAATGCTTTGGCACATGGTAACTGAGGTATACCCTAAAGAAGAAAAAAATACTAAAATTAGTATTATATCTGTAAACAGATGTGATAATGCTGTCCAACTCTTTGAGAAGTGGTTTGGGATTGGGAGATGAAACTAATTACATATCAAAGTGGAATTTAATAAAACCAGTGCCAATTTTTACACGACTGAGTCTAGAAGAATTTCAATATCCTAAGTTAAAGAACAAATGTTTAAATGTTCTAGCATAATGAATTTGAGGGAAAAATATAACATATACCTCACCAAAAACATGGCTAATATAAAAATAATTGTTTGCAAAGAATTCTGTGCTAAGGTAGCTTATAAGGAATCAGCATTAAAGAGCAATTATTATAAAGGATTTAAATAATAAGTTTTCAAAGACTGTAAAACATAAATTGGCCAAAATTTTACCAAATAATGTAAGTATTTTTGTTTTCAGGCAGTGAAAGTAGATCTGCCCAATGATAAAGCAGAACATTTAAAATATTACATTTGTTACCCTGCAGCTGCCTTCTCTTGGACGAATTCAGCAATTACAAGTTTGATATGTATTCACTGTATAAAACATTGTAAGTTTTTAAATTATGTTTTTTATAACAACCCACTTTTTTGAGGAGCAAAATCTATTTGAAAAGATAAAAATCACAAATGCACTTGTATGCACAGTATAAGAAAAGATATTTCTGACTTAACCCAACTATGATGAAATAGAGCTAAAGAAAAAAAAAAGCCTTCATACACTTTTCTGAAAACTGTCACTAACCTGATAACAACCTTCCTCACCATTACTTGAGCCATTCCAAAATCCTTTTCAATTTTATAGAATACAAATAATGGTCTGGAAGAGACTTCGAGAAGTCATTTAAACCATTCCACTCTGTTGAGTGACCACCATGAGTACCTAAATCTGACAGATGTTTGTTAAACTGTTCTTATAAATCTCCAATAGTGGGGATACCACAACCTCTCTTGGTAACCCCATTTCAGAGCTTAACTACTCTTTAGTTACAGTTTTTTTCCTAATATCTAATCTAAATCTTGCTTGCTGAAGATTATGTCTTACTTGCCTTCACTGGGCCTGATCTAAAAGGAATGGTGATTAATTGTTAACAGTCCTTAACATATCTGAAGACTTATCAGGTTACTCCCATGTCTTATTTTCTCAAGACTAAACATGACCAGTGTCTTTGGCCTGTCCTCATAGGTGAGGTTTTTCCATTATTGTTGCTCTTCTCTTTGACTTGATGCTCTTAACATGTGGAGCCCAAAACTGAACACAGTACTCCAGCTGAGGCAGTCACCAATGCTGGGTAAATACAAACATTATCTCTTCATGTCTTTGATATGGTGATCTTGTTAATACACTCCAGAATACTGATCTTTTTCACATTGTTGACACATACTAAATGTATGATTCAGTATAATTCACAAATCCTCTTTTGTAGTACTACTGTCTGGCTAATTATTCTCAATTTTGTAGTTGTGCATTTGATTTTTCCTTCCAAGGAATAGCAAGTTACACTTATCCTTAATAAATGTTGTCTTGTTCATTTCAGAAGAGTTCACCAATTTATCAAGATCTCTTTTCATTCTAATCCTGCCCTTTAAAGTGCCTGAAATTCTGCCCAGCTTGCTGCCATCTAGAAATTTTATAAGAATACTTTGCCTCCATTAATAAATTACTGAATATTACCAGAACCAGAAGAGACTCATGTGAAACCCTACTAAATACACCCTTCCAGTCTGATAGCGAACCACTGATAACTACTCTCTAAGTATGTGTTTTTTTCAAACACCATCAAACTTCCGTCACTTTAACTCCAGCTCTTATTTCCTGAGATAGCCTGAAACTTTTAATGACTAACAAATGCTAAAATCCATTGAGGAGCACAATGAACAGTCTTGAAACAGAGTAGTCAACAACAATTACAGATTACAGTATTTTACATAATACGCAAGGTCAAAAATGCAAGAAATACGAAAAATCAGGCTTGATATAAAACACATTACTGCAAAATTAATAGTAAGCATATTAGGTATTAATATATATTTTTTACTTTTACCAAGGAATTTCAGACTGAAGCTGAGTAAAACTTAGAAACGCTCATGGCAAAACGCAGTAAGCAGCACAGAATAGCTTATATCTATAGTCTGTTTCTGCTGGTTCTCCACTGACCATTACTGGGATCCATCTCCCTGCTCCCTTTAAGTTCCTTTCCAAAACCTTTCTACTACAGGCAGTCCCCGGGTTACGTACAAGATAGGGACTGTAGGTTTGTTCTTAAGATGAATCTGTATGTAAGTCGGAACTGGCGTCCAGATTCAGCCGCTGCTGAAACTGATCAGTTTCAACAGCGGCTGAATTTCTCCACTGACCATTACTGGGATCCATCTCCCTGCTCCCTTTAAGTTCCTTTCCAAAACCTTTCTACTACAGGCAGTCCCCGGGTTACGTACAAGATAGGGACTGTAGGTTTGTTCTTAAGATGAATCTGTATGTAAGTCGGAACTGGCGTCCAGATTCAGCCGCTGCTGAAACTGATCAGTTTCAACAGCGGCTGAAT